AAAAATTGTGACTGAGAGAGAATTCTGACTTACGATGACTAAAATTAACTTCCCTTCTCACAAATATGTTTGTAGATAATAATGTGTGGAGGCCTCAAGCAAAAGTCTAATTTAATTTGCATTCAGATTTTGGTACAGGTTTTCCTCTCTGTTTCATTCTCTTTGGTTAGAAATAATCTTATTTTGATGTTGAAGAAGATTTAGGATATGCCCCTCCAAACTATGCTACTGTGGGATCAGGATTATTTTCAGCCGAGGACAATTGAGAATCAACACATCAGGAAGTTTGCTACCTTCTCCTTTCTGCCTAAAAACCAGGGAATCAGTTTCCCATTGCGAAGGGGGCCCCTTGTCCCATCCCAGGAAGAGGAGAGCAATTCCTGTCACTGGGTGGAGGATCGGCCCTGAGATGCATCTGCATAAACAAACCCTAAAATAACCCTTCTCCTTCATCATTTCCACCGTAGATTTCCTAGTTACTTTCTAACAGTTACACAATTTATTTGTTCCTTGAAGCCCAAATCCTCTTTCCTTAGTCACAATGGAAGTCCCCAAGCCTCACTGTTTCTTTGAGTTTCACTTATTTTCTGTGAACTTTAGGGAACGTATTAATAAGATTTGTATTCTCTTTCTCCTGTTAATCTGTCTTTTATCAGTTAAATTAGCAGGCCCCCAGACACTGAGCCTGAGAGGGTACAGGCAAAGGTTTTCCTCCCTGGCAGTGTGTATTTCTGAATTCTGGCATGGTCTAGCACTGTCTGCAACCATCAAGGGCAGGTGCGTGGGCCACTTCATGGCTCAGCTGTTGCTCTTCCTCTTGTTCCTGTCATAGCTCCCCAGATGTTTTTATGCTGGTGCTATTTATAATGGAAATGGAAGAGAAGATGTTTCAAAAGAACGGGAAGAAAGGAGCCACAGAGGGGTCACACAGAAGGATGGACAGGGTGCGGCTGGGGCACCAGAAGGAGGTGTCACTGCCTCATGCAACCCCTCTTACCCAGTCTCTGCCAGCTGCCCCTCACTGGCTGCACCCTGGAGGTGGCCCTGTTCACTACAATAAGCAAAGTCGCTAAGTGGGTCAGGGTGAAGCACTCCCCTTAGGAAAGTCAGGGCTCACCAGTTATTACGCGGATTCCTCAGCTAGCGAAAGAAAGGGGTTGCAGTTGAAGGAGGATGGTTCATGTCCCTCAGGTTTTAAGCCGTTCACTGCTGAGTTGAAGCCACCTGATGGGCTGGTTTGGTTTTTGTCTGGAGGCAAAGCAGAGGAATTAACCATTCACTACCACACAGCGTGCCACGGAAAAGTGGATTTGATTAGGGAAAGGTAAAACAGGCGGGCTTGGAGGCCAAGTTAGGAGTTTTCGAATAATCCTTCTCCTTTTGTGGTCTCCCTCCCAGGTCTGACCTTGCTTTTAACTTAGAAGGCTATATTTTTGTATTCCTGAATGATATCTTCACAGCAGCAAATGGAGTTTATACCAAACAGAAAATGGACCCAAAGGTACCAGACCTTGCCTATGGCTTTTTGGCTTTGTCATCTGGGCCCTAGAAGTATATGAAAAACGAAAATGAATGTGTACAGTTGGCATGTCATGTAATGTATATAATATGACCTGTAGATTACTAATTTCAATTATCTTGTCTGTGTAAGTTATTATTTGCAAAATTTTGGGTGAAAATGAGATAGCATGGGAAAAGCTACTAGTTTAGATGCACACTCAGAATATATAAAAAGAGATTAATTTGAAAGGCAAACTAACTTTTTTACTGGCATCATCAACGACCAAGGCAAGGTCAGGGGTCACGATATTTGTTCTGAGAGCACTAGTTTGGAGTCTGGAGATGTGGGTTAGAGACACAAGTTTTGCTACTTACTGGCTGTTGTGACTTTGAACCTTAACTTCTCCAAACGTCAGTTTCCTCATCTGTGGAATGAAATGACTGCAATGGATAATTCGTAAGGTCCTGTCCAGCAATAGCTGCTGCTTCTGATGATGAGGGGCTGGGGCAGAGGAGCTTTGCTTTTGTGTGGCTGCCTGTCACGTGGAGGCCCCATCCCTCCTCCCCCCCACCCCCAGCTGTTACAGGAAGCCCGGGAGGATGAGTCAGGCATATGTTTCTTTGTTCCAAGCTCTTTGTGCTGGACGCGGGAGTTCACTCTGACCAACAGGCTTATTTCTATGAGCTTTTTTTTTTTTTTTTTTTTTTTTTTTTTCTG